TCATGTAACAGAGTTTTCTTGTGCAGCAATCCTATATTTCAATACATAGGAGGAGTGCTAGGCTTAGTCATCTATGACAATGAGCTGTCGTTATATGTGAATTCGTTATGCATCAACGACTTACAAGACGACTGAGCCTAAGTTATCATAACCCAAACAAGATTCAATCCCCTCCGTTACTAAAGCTCCATTCCACTTGAAATAAATAAATAAGTCTAATTCACAATCTGCCCCATCTCCGTGTATGTATTAATCTCTAGTGTTTTATTAAGGGAATTGTTATTAGTATTAGGAAAGATGATACGTCATCCATTTCTGTTAATGAAAAATAGTTGGAAAAAACTAAATGTGGTTAGTTTTGTTATTAGTTGTGGTTAGTTAGAATGATAAAAGTTTAGTTAAGGAAGTTAAGGGTATAAATGTAAAGAGCCCAAGGCTATATATATATACACATCCATGTAATTGTTTATTAAATAAATGAAATACAATCTTGTAGAAGAAGCTTTGCTTTTCTTTATGGTATATCGCCATTTCGCTTCACAGCATCGTTTCCACCTTCTGCATCGATCGATCTTCTCTTGATTGTTTCTTGTTGCTTCAACTCTGACTCTTCATTTTTTCTTCTCTGATCTTTCTTCTGTTCGTTGATTGCTTCTTGTTTGGGATCATGGCTTCTCCATCTGAATCGTCCCCAATTGGATCGTCTTCTCCGAGTCAAAACCCTAATTTCTCTTCTAATCCTCCTTCTCTGAATTCGTATACTTCTCTTACGATTCATAACATTGGAAGTGGAAGTATGATGCCGATTAAACTGAAAAGCTCCAACTATCTTCCCTGGCGAGCGTTGTTTGCTCCCATTTTCCGGTGATACAAGCTTCTTGGCGTGATTGATGGAACTGAGATCTGTCCACCGCCTCTCTTATCTGATCGCTCGCTGAATCCTGCTTTTGAGGAGTGTAAAATGAGATTTTTGGAGTGTCGATAATACTTCCCTTTATTAATTACTAGAATTAATTAAAGAATTGAGAAGTACATTTTTTTTCTTCTTAACTGACCAATGAATGAAATGTTGGGTTATATTAAACTGCTAACAACATATAACCAACTTTATCAGTTTAATATAACTCAACTTTTTTGTTGAGCTGGTAAGCATTTTTCTCTTCGCTGTATCAATTTCTAGGTTTGAGTCTTAACACAAGCTATCCTTCTTGGTAGACGGTTTGTAAAAAAAAAAAAGGGACTTAGACACCCTCATTAAGTCCTCAAAGAAGTTTGTAGTATGCTCTAGCCTTGTGACAAGGTAGCTATCACATTCCCGACTAGAATCTCTTTAGAAAGAAAATCTTTTGTCTCATGATAACCTACTCCGGTTCCCTCACGAAACTTTCGTTATTAGATTAGCCATATGCTTACATGTTTCTAGCGATTCACATAGCTAAAAGTTGGGTTATATGTGATTGTGTCAGTGTATCATATCATGCATGTTAAGTTGCTAACAAGAAACCAAGAAGCGATATTTAATCAAATCGAATGACGTCCGATCAGACAAATGTCAATTGGATCAAATCGTATACCAATTTGTGCCCGTGTACATGTCACCATGGCCAACTTAACTAGTTTTGGATTAATACGACAACCATGCATGGATGGATACTTTAGTCATTTCATGGGTCCCCTCTTGCTTCTCTTTCTTGACATCTCCATGCATTATTGTGTTGTCCATATTCTTTACATTACATTTTTATGCTAAGCAAGCTTAGATTCCCATCCTATAGAATTTTATGGTCAAATGAAAAAAAAAAAAAAAAAGATGAACTGAAGTAGGTAACAAGCTAAGCTAACCTTTACATGGCACAAGTACGTTGAACAATGTAATAAAGTATCATTTATATTGAGTAGTTTTTTTTTTGGGTCAAAATCGGAGATGGTACAATTCTTGACCCATTCTGATGTCCTATTTGAAATTTTGACTACGCCGCTATTGTGGTGTACCATGATATGAAATAGCAGATATATGTACAAAGTCCTTGTCTAAGCCTAGATTTCTACTTCTCAAAACAAACTCTCTCTTCGATTACCTCAGCTTAGTTTAAGGGGGGCATATTAAGGACAATAGTGTAAAAGATAAAACTTGGCAGGGTCAATTTTGTAAATACCTTGATGTTCTGTTATAGTTTGTTATTTGGACAGTTAGGATTTGTTGTAGTGAGCTGTTAACAAAGTTGTGCGTTGAGTTACGTATAAATACCAAATTTGTAATCTTATTACAAGTCAATGAAAGATAATTTTCCAAATACCCCTACTATGAGAATTGAGACCCTCTCTGAATCTTTGTGTCTAGAGTCGATGGACCCAGATATCCGAACCACTTATTTTAAATCATACGTCCTCTATTAGCCCATCCCACTAGCTACCTCACACAAACTAAAGGTCCAAATCTCTCTCTTCCTTAAATGGCCCGAATCTTTGTGTCCGCTGGCTCTAAACTTCAAAATCTGGAGAGAATCTCGATTTCTACTGTGCTTTCAATGCCCTTTCTCTTTTTATCCTTTCCAGCTGAAAACGCTCTTTGCCGTTTCTTTTTAATGCACAGAAAGAGCAATGCAGCTGCATTTTCTAATGTTAACTTTGTACAAGTCCTTTCACCCCTTTACGTACACTTGAAGTTTGACAAAGTTATGTAAGGAATCTAGTCCCACCAAAAATGTTCATGCATGCAGCTGCGTGCTAGCTGCCACTGAGTCCCACACACACTATTTAGCATCTAGGTAAAGTTTTCAATGATCGGTACGAGTTAACTTGTACATGTTGAGGTGAAAAATGATCAAGGGTAAAAAGTTGTAAAGTTTTCCTACCATGCCATTTGGTAACTAAAAATACTACTGTTATCGCATAAATTACTACTGTTACTGCGTAATTAGAAACTAAAAATATAGTGATGATGTTGATCAAGGTTTTGGAATTGAAGGCGTGGACTGTGGAGGGATGATAACATGCCATTTGGTAATTGAGGTGGTGGTGTGGCAGAACAGATCAAAGAGAGTGGAGCAAGCGGTGAGATATATATATATATATATATATATATATATATATATATATATATATATATATATGTGTGTGTGTGTGTGTGTGTGTGTGTGTGTGTATGCATGCATATATGGGTAAAATATCCTAGATTATGATGGGTACACAGAGACAAAAAAAGACCAGCTCTTAGCCTTAGTAGTAGGGTTTATGACAACAACCTTTGCTTGGGCATTTCCAACCCATTCGTTTTCACTATCACTACGTACTATTTCTCCACTCGAATTCACAGCTGCATGCAGGAGAGAGAGAGAGAGAGAGAGAGAGAGAGGGGGGGGGGATTGGGGTGAGGAGTGAGCAGTGGTAGCAGTGAGAGAGAATATGCAAAAGAATGATAATACTAGGGAAATTAAATTTTTTAAATTAAATTATGTGTCATCAATAAAAAAACAAACATGCTAATTGACACTTAATTAATAATCCAATCATCTACAATCATATCATTTATTTTACAAATTTGGTTTAAAAAATTCGGTCTTCCTAACATTACTCGCAAAAGAAAAGATAAAATGGATAGATGATGTGAAAGAGCTTCATCCTAATCCACGATACCTGTTGGTGGGTTAGGTAGCAAACCCTGCCCCCCTCCCCTCTTTGGACCCCATTCCCTTCATTCCTGCCTCCTCCTCCTCTCTCTCTCTCTCTCTCTCTCTCTCTCTCTCTCTCTCTCCCTCTCTCTCTCTCAGAGTCACTGGCCAACTCATTTTTTCATTTCTTTTCCTTAAGTAATTGGTTTCTTTTACTTTACATAACTAAAATCATCAATAATATTACTGTACTCTTTTTCTAATGAAACCCAAAGTCCTTTCACATTTTATGGGACACCCAAGTTCCATCCCAACAATGATCTCTCTAGCTTATATAATTCTACAACGATTTCACAAGGTGCGTCTCTTTGGAGTCCAAAAGAGGGACATTTCTTTTTTTTTCTCTCTCCAAAGTCACCCACTTCACATTGTAAAAGCATAGACCACCTGTGTTTTTCCTTTAATTCACAATGAAATCATTGTGAAATCAAACTAGTGAAAAGCTCCCATTTCCACTTCTAAAATTAACCTTAAAGAAAATTGTCTTCCTTCTTATTTTGAACGAGCGGTATTCTACACTAGTTTCTTTTATCGAGTTCAGTTAGGTGTAGTATTTAAAATATCGATATAGGTGGAAATATCGATATGCAAATTTATGAAAATATTGATTAGTTGCCTTTGATGGAAATTATGAAAATTGCAATGGTTTGGGTATATCAACTCATTCATATTTAGTCGAAATTAGAGAAAAGTTCTTAAAAAAATTCAAAAGTTCGAAATCTGCAATGGGTTCGGACAAATTTTCTATAGTGAATCGGTAAATATCATCAATATTCATTGATGTCCCTAAATCTTGGCGATATACGGTGAAGTTTCTATTTCACCCCCTTCCCATTTCCATATCAATCCTTGATTTGTCGGATATTTCGACGAAAATATCAACAATTTCGTGAATATTTTAAACACTGATTAGGTGAAAAAGGGTGGATATATTACCTAAATCAACTGAGCTAACTAATATCTGTAGCACAAACTCTATTCTCAAGAAATATCGCTACCTTCTGTCAATCCCCTCATTTTACAATTTTCCATACATATTCATAGTGACTTAAAAACTCTACCCTCTCTAACTCTCTTGTGAAAGTGTGACATGACCTAAGAAGGACCAAAAAGTCTTTATATTGCATGTAAAAAGTCTATATATTGCTTGTAATTGAAAAAAAAAAGAAAAAAGAGAAATCACATCCTATAAACAAAGAGAAGTATAAAACAATCCTGCACTCTCTCCCCTCCCACAGCTAGCCCTCAAATGTGTGTGTGTGTATATATTTATATATAGAAAAATACATAAATTCCTAGAAGCTACTGATAAGGTATATAAGCCATCCACTGCAACAATTTGTGCATCCCCTTCCATTTGAAGAAATTTCATTCCCTTTTGAATATTTCAGCAAAAATTTATCATTTCCTTCTGTGATAAATCTACAAACCTTTCTTTTCCTTCACCAACAGTTAGATTCTGTGCCACTCTGAACATGGCAGCTGCTAGATCATTAAGATTGGTGGCAAGAGCTTGATTAATCATCAAGCCATGACTGCCAATGGGATGGCCTTCTTCTCTACAAATTTCATGCTTCAAACCCCCCATGACCGTGATGACCACCAACCTCCCACTTCTCTCAGTCCAATGCTGCCTTCCTGCACACCTCAAGATTTCCACGGTACTTCTTTCCGAAATTTTGATATTAATTCGTTTTGTTTGATTAATTAAGTTCATTAGTAGTAGTGGGACGCTGGTCCTTCTCGCCGATCCGTCTATATGGAATCTTGACATTAATATTTGTTGTGTTTATGCAGGCGTGGCATCGTTTCTAGGAAAGCGATCGGTGTCATTTTCAGGGATTGAGTTGGGAGAAGAAGCTCATGGGGAGGATGACTTGTCAGATGATGGGTCACAGGCAGGGGAGAAGAAGAGGAGGTTGAACATGGAGCAAGTGAAGACTCTTGAGAAGAACTTTGAGTTGGGGAACAAGCTTGAGCCTGAGAGGAAAATGCAGCTGGCCAGGGCTCTTGGTTTGCAGCCAAGACAGATTGCTATATGGTTTCAGAACAGGAGGGCCAGGTGGAAGACAAAGCAATTGGAGAAAGATTATGATCTCCTCAAGAGACAGTTTGATGCCATCAAAGCTGACAATGATGCTCTCCAATCTCAGAACCAAAAACTTCAAGCTGAGGTTGGTTCAATTCAAATAAATGATCTTTTAAAAGTACCCATGAAATGATGAAAACCAAATTATGTCTCAACAGACCGGCTTAGTCAAGTTAGCTATAATAGTTCTGAATCTCTATTTTCGTAGTTTAAGTTAGACTTGTCGCTCTAATCAGGTTTTGGATATGATTGTGCTCTGGATCTGTAGATTATGTTTTGGAAATTAATCATCTGCCTTTCATCTAAAAGATTTTTTGCTTTTTTGACTATCAAATTGTTGTATCATAATTATTGAGAACCTTTACATCCCCTGAACCAATAATCTTTGATTACATAAAGTTGCTTTTTCCAAGATAGATTCAACTTTTTGATGCGCTGATTAATTGATCATGATTCGCGGGCTAAAAGGGTAATCAATCATCACTCAAACAGTACAGATCTTTTGGTTTTTTTTTTTTAATTACACCTTTGAATGAGTCCGACTATGAAATAGACGTTCTTTTTTTTTGCTGATAAATTTATTGGGTGCAGATAATGGCATTAAAAAACAGAGAACCAGCGGAATCCATCAACCTCAACAAAGACACAGAGGGATCTTGCAGCAACAGAAGCGAAAACAACTCCGACATAAAACTGGACATTTCGAGAACACCGGCAATCGACAGCCCTCCCTCGTCTCACCATCATCAAAATCCAACCCTTTTTTCGTCTTCAATAATAAGGCCAGCCCAGCTCTTCCAAAACACATCAAGGACTGAAGCAATGCAATGCCAGAAGATCGATCAGATGGTCAAAGAAGAAAGCTTGACCAACATGTTCTGTGGCATCGACGATCAGTCTGCTGCTGGGTTTTGGCCTTGGTTGGAACAACATCAGTTTAATTAAGCAATGAAATAATCAAAGAGGCAACAAACCAAATTACCATGTTAATTTCTATCAGTTTTTAATTAAAATATTCCGTGTTCTTGGTGATTAGATTAAAGTTTTATGGGATGAAAAAAAAAATCCAGGTGAATTTGAATTGCATTTTAGTAGCTGGTGACTGACTGAGTGTTGCAGCAGCTCCTAGCTAGCATGGGACATGAAATAAAAAAGGGATTTCTCTCCTCCTTTAGTTGTGTATTTTTTTTTAGTATATAGTCGATTTTTCTCCCTAATTTTCTGTCAAAAATTCCTTTTTATTTTCTTAATGTTCAATTTACCAAATTTACCGAAAAGTTAGAAAACATTTTGATGGCGGAAAATTGGACAAAGTTTAGAGAGAAAATTAACCAAACAAAGTTACAAAAGTCCCAGAGAATCTTCTTACTTTCGAATCATGCCACTGTACTGTCAATGAAAATTTGCTCACAAGTGCCGTGAAAAAAAGTCCTTTTGCAATGATTTGTTTGCTGATATCATCAAATCCAATACAAAGTGGAGAACAAAATCTACTACTTGAAGTTTTTGCGAAAAAAAAAAAAATCTACTTGAAGCTGAATTAAAAGAATATGTTTATATGTAGAGCATTGTTATTTGTATTTCAAAAATCTTATTCTACACTTCAAACTTTTTATATTAAGAAAGAAAAATACATTTATTATAAGTATAGAATGAAATTTTTGAAATGTTCATAACACTTCAATATATATATATATATAAGAGAGAGAGAGTACTGAGAGAGGGAAAGTATCGAGCACACATTCCAAGAGGGAAATGAAGACAAGGAGATGGAATCATGGAAGTGAGTGGAAGAAAACAGAGTTGGAAAAAGGTCATACTCGTGAAGGGGACGTTGGCAAGTTTCATGTACTGACAATCGCAGGTAATGGACAAAAACCCAACTATGCTCTGTCTCCACCACCACCACCACCTCCATCTCTCTCTCCACTTGCCTCTCTATCTCTAGTTGCAAAGACAGAAATCTTAAATACAACATGTTACACGACTTGAATTCTGTGTAAGTATAGAATCGGCTAAACAAATTAGTATTATTCGACTAACATTGTACGTAAGTGGTCTTCTACCATAATGACAGAGAGAAGTGCTGACATCGCATCACAATATGAGTTTGAATCTTTAACATTGCATCACGGCGTGAGTTCGAATCTTTAACATTGTACTAGTAAAATTACATTTTTATCAATTTTTAGATGAATAATATAAGTTAAAGTATTATTATTTTCATATTCTTGAATTTGTGAGCTAACATAATTATGATACAGATATAAGAAAGTGTCACTCACATACTTATTTTTACTTTCTATTCACATTTATTAATTTTTTGTCATTATTATTTTTTAATTATCACCTTTAAAAAAAAATAAGGATGTAGCATTATCCGAGCAAAGATGCCAAAGTTATACAAGAATGCCTACACAGAGGCAAACAACCAACCACAAATACTAGAAAAGGGTAGTGCAAGGAGGTTACAGGAGACCAAGACGCCACACCTAATTCTAAAGCGTCCCTCTTCCCACTACCATATATAATTAGTGGGGGACATGAAAGGTCATCATTACACAAAATCTAAACAAAGGAAGATGTGGATCTATCGACCCAAATTGTCACCTTAGTTTTTATACAGGGAAAAGAGAGAGAAAAGATTCAAGAGTGTCATGTGAACTCACTGTCGCCCACTCTAACCTCCCACAGGAATGCCTGGATCCCTTTACAACTTGCTTTTAGAAAATACACCTCCCTTCCCGCACTTTCCATCTCCTTTTTCTTTTCCAAGATGTAATGCTTTACGTTCCAAGTTCCAAGTTCCAACATGTCCATTTTCGAACTGTTACTTTCAACTGACAAGGAACAATTTCACTTATCCTCATCCTCAAATCTGTCTGTTTTCCAAGATATTTTGAGCTCAAAAGCTAAATCCTTGACGTATATACAGTCTTGATGCCTAAAATTAATTTTAACGGTAAGATTGACCTCCTCGATCAAGAGATTGAAGAATATATTTTGTACTTGATTGTTCTTGGTAACGAAACACTTTGTGGCTTCTGTCAAAAAGAAAAAAACAAGGCGTCGGACAATCCTTCTAAACCAGCTTAGCGTGGGTACTGACCAGACTGGCAAAGATTACTAGCTAGTGCATTAGTATTACCCTAACCTTGCATGCATGTCGATATTTAGGTCGGACAACCCTGCCGTTAAGCCCAACGTTGCATACATGCGTAAAGAAAATGTACTTCAAAGCTCAAGAACACATGTTTAACTAGTTATTCTGATCAAACACATCAAAATTGTCATCAAAATTCCTAATCTATCACACGTTTGCAATTGGTTTAAAAAATGAATAAAAACGCTTTTAGAGAAAATATTATTTGATCCCAAAAGTACTGGAAATGCTTCATGTAATAAGCAACAGTTATATGCTTCTTGTAGGAAGCACTTCAAGTGTTTTTTTTCTTCAGGATTCACTATATTTTTACTAAATATTTGTTTCAAAAACATTTTCACTAAAAATGCTTTTATTCATTTTAAAGTCATTTTCAAACGAGCATCTCTTATGTTATAGATTTTACAGTTGTTGCTAGCAACTGTCATAACAGAATTAACGGGATCTAATAGCCAATAATAGTAACCCAGATCATTAAAACTAGCCAGTAATCATAAGAACAAACCAACGAATTAACATGTGACAGAATCTGCATAACCTTCTCCATATCTGTATATCAAATTAATTAAGTTGACGAAAATTATATTACTGCGCTGTTTTGCACGTTGTTGGAAATATTTTTTTAACTTTTTAATTCATGGGATCATGTGATGAAGCCATAAATAATATGTTTGGCCGCCATGGCTGGAACCTTCGGCATTTTGCTGACAATTTGAGATGCCAACTTACATTACACACAAATATTGTGTGGTGGCGAAATTAACAATTCCCTGTTAACAAAAACTCGTTAAGTGACCATGTCCCCTGTGGCCTCACATTCATAACCTCAACTAAATAAATATACTCAACCAAATAAATTGACATTTATTTGTTGGAGAAAATTAGAAAATTGATCCTTGAATTTAGTTTAATTAGATCTTTAGAGTTAATTAAAAATATGTGAGTAGTATATATTAAACTTGTTATTTTGTAGAGCAATGATCGTTTTTCTCGTCCAAAATAAAAGGTTTTAAAAAAGCAAATAAAGGATGGAACTTTTGTGACAAGTTGAATAAAATTCAGGGACTAATACTCAAATTTTCTCCATGAGTTAAGCAAAACATTTGTTATCAGAAAACTAATAATATTGGACTTAGGATATCATCAGAATAAGAGAACCCCAAAAGCATGTTTGCCATTTTTGAGACCAAAACATGTGCAATTAAAAAATAAGTATGCATTATTGAGTTTTAAAATATGTTTGGAAGTGCCTTGGGTATTTATTTATGTTGAGATTTACCATGGATTGGATTTGAAGCTCTGTCAACGGGTAACATAATATTTTTGCGGTGACCTTTTTAGAAGACGACTTAAATATTTTAGATTTCTGGAAGGACTATGTATTACCATTCCACATGGAACAATCATTTTTATCTTAGTTGGAAGTTGATCCTAACCATTTGAAAAATATAAAAAAAAAAAATTAAAGAGAGACAAAATTGAAGTATAAATTTAATAAAATAAGGGTATTGTTATTGACACTCCAAAATTCTTGTTTTGCACTTCAAAATTTATATATTAAAAAAAAAACACTTGTGAGAATGAAAAATGAGATTTTCGGAATGCTAATAATAGTTCTTTAAAATAATTAGGTTAATTAATAGAAAACTTGGGTGTTAAAGAGGCAAGAAAATTAAGTTTGGGCCTAAGCCTATTACTCTGATGTTATACAACTTTGGGCTTTTGCCCGTTTGTCTTCGAGTTTGTATGCAAGTTTGGTCCAACTGCGTTTAATTTTATGGTGGGCCCAAATAAGGCTACAAAAGCGAGGGTTTATTTAATTTAATTTAATTTTTTTGTTAAAAGATGAATTTTATTAGATTAGTCACCGACAAAGTTTGTACCCACACCGTCATGCAACGGTTTAACACATTCCCACCATTGTAGTAAAGGACCACTTAAGTGAGGATTTTGTTTGGATTTATTCATTTTGCGTCATTAAAATGGTTGATAAGTCTCGTCCTCCTAAATCCAATGGTCAGAAAAAAAAAATTGGAGTAACATATTGTTCGATCTCAATTTAACGGTAAAATAAGTACAATAACAAATGATATTATTAAAAAAATAATGTACTAAAATATATAAAGTTTAAACCATGGAAATAAAATTTAGAGCACCCAAAAAATCTGAAACACACAATTCCATCTACGACCAACGAACCCAATCCATATTTGCCTCCTTCCCTTTTCTCTATCTTCTCTTTCTCAAACTTCTAACTACTAGCTGATAAGCCCAATGGCCTCCACCCCCGTTCTCTCCCCCACCACCACCACCACCACCACCACTTCCTCCTTAGTCCACCACCACCACTTCCTCCTTAGTCCACCACCACCACCACCACTCTCTACAACTCTCCTCTAAATTACCCTTCCCTAACTCCCTCACCAAAACCAACACTCTCAGTTCAAACAGACCAGTCACCAGACTCAACGTGTCCACCCCAACCGACAAACCCACGACGGAAACCATCTACTTCGATGGCGGAGCCCACTACGGTGACCTCCTCGCCAACCTTATCCTGGGTTTCACTCTTCTCTGGCTGCCCTTGACTTTAGCTGCGGTCTTCAGGGCATTGTTTTTGAGGTACAGGTTTACCAACCTGCGGGTAACGGTAATCTCGGGACTGACGGGTCAGGATAGGAGCGATTTCTCGTACAAGGTGATCAAGGATGTCCAGGTGGTGCCACGTTTCATCGGCGAGTGGGGTGAAATTATCATCACCCTCAGAGACGGCACCAAGGTTGACCTAAGGAGTGTGCCCAAGTTCAGAGAGATCGCCAAGAATTGCCTCTCTTTGGCTGAAAAGCCCGCCGTATTGAAGGAAACGGGAGCCAAAGGCT